TGCAGCAACGGCGACGAAAACAAAATTACGAAGTAGACTGGACATAAACCACACACTTGAGGTGTCATTGTCTCCTATTACCCCGAAATGGGACCGTCTGGTTGCAGAAAATCAAGCTCGGTGCCGTGGTGAGTCGTCATTTTCATGCACTTCGAATTTGCGTTGTATCGTATTTTGAAGGCATTAAACATTGCCATAGCGATCGGAGTGTTGCGGCCAGATTAGACGCTCCTTGTGTTTATTATTATATTTCAAAAACGCCACAGTTTTCATGCAGCTCATACCATATTATTTTGTTGTATTATTTCCGCCACACCTTAAATGCCAGTCCCTGAAAATATTGTCTGACATAAACCGGTCCGTGGGGCAAAAAAGGTTGGGGGCCCCTGGTCTAAATAGCACAGGTGATGAAGCCTGCTCAGATGAATGATGACATATCTTCGAAAACCTGCCACACACTGTACAGCGCGGCTAAACCCAACTTAAGAGTGGACCATCGCAGAAATCGTCTTATCTAGGTTTTTGAGGCTCTGCATACAGTATAGTCTACTCAGTTGACTATACTGAGAAAGTGATACAGTAGAGTCTACTGTATCACTTTCTCAACTCGACCACAAAACCATAGTTTGGCAGTCAAGGAAGAAGTGATTTGCTACAAGGAGAATAAGTGGGTGGAAATAGAATAGAAAATAATTTATTGTCAATGTTACAGGAACAATGAAAATCAGTTTATCCATCTCACATTTTATAGAGTAAGGGTAAATACAAATTTAAGCCCGCAACACATGCACACACGCACACATGCACGCACACCTATTTACAAAATATAAAGTTATTCACATTTGGGAGAATGTCCATATTGTGGTATGGTGCACAGATTTATTTATTTTTTAATCCGAAAATATTGCACAGATCTTGTTCATTATCATGATATGACACCTGTAAAGGAGGGTGTTCTAGTTCTTACTGTGGGAGATGCATTTCCCTCAATGGCTGCAATCCTGATAATTTTAGATGTCTCCCACCTCCAACACACCTAATTCAAATGATCATCGCATAATCTCACCGCTGATCATTTGAATCAGGTGTGTTGGAGGAGGGAGACTTCTAAACCAAGCAGGGTAGGGGCCCTCGAGGACTGGAGTTTGAGGCCCCTGGTCTAGACTTTAATGTTCTGTGGTGTTTTCATGGGGAAAGGATGAGAACAGTGAATATTCGCAATGGGTTGGGTCCTTAATGAGCCCACTGGCTTTTTGTAGAAGTCTGCCAGTGTAATGTGGGTGTCTTTGAAAGTGGGTAGTGTACATCCAATTACCCACGCTACAGGTTTTTCCTGTCCTTCACAGTAAACTGTAAACCCAGTCCAAAAACAATCCAGTTTGTTTGTTTATTATTTATTGAACACATAGAACATACAATACAATAACAGATTGACAAAAGTGAAGGCAAGTAAAAATTATAAAAAGAAAAAAAGAAAAACAGAAATCATCACAATTTTATGTTCAAAGGAGTAGGAAGAAGTAAATAACTTATCTAGTCCGACCCCTTGTTATGTAGCAGTATATGAATTGATCTTTTCTCAATACAAAGAAGAAAAGAAAAAAATCTACATATCATCAAATACTTTTACCCTTTTGTGTACTCCACTTATCTATTTATACACCTTTCGGTTTGTATATATATACTCATTCTTTCTCCTTTATATATA